TTTGAATCCTTAGAACTTCATACATAATAATTTATCGCATTTTTAATCATCAAACATACATATAACATGCTTTTCGACTATGTTTTATATATAATCATTCCATAAATCATATTCTTGATTTCTTTAGGTAATCTCATGCCTCATGAAAAAGTTATAAATCATAAAGCCGTCTTCTCACCTTAATGAAGCTTATAAAGTCCTAGCTTCCTTGGTTGAGCTCCGACGAAACTCCGGCCAAACTTTGGCGAGCTCCGACGACAATTCCGGCGACTTCCCAACTCCTTGAGAAAGTCAACTTCACCTTAAACAAGTCCCTGACAAGATTTTGTGTCCCAAAGTCTCATATTAACAACTATAACTTCTCAAAAGTCACTTCCCGGCGAATCGGTCAACTTTATTCTCCAACTCCATTTTGAATAGAAACCAACCTTTCAACCCCTCATTCTACACTTCTAAATGTGTAGAACAATTCTAGGGATCTATCAAATGATTATAATATAATCATATGAGAAGATTAAGGAAAAGAAATGGAGTTAATGGACTCAACCTTGTAAACCTCAAGTTTTCCTCTCCAACCTCCTCTTTTCTCTTCTCTTTTGCCTCTATTCTTCTTCCTTAGCTTGGGCGCGAAAATGGAAATGGAAATAGTGTTCTTGGAGAGCTTCTCCCTTTTCCTTGGATGATTTGGTCGAGCTAAATGAAGGTGGTTGAAGGAAACCCCTCACTTTTGTCTCAATAGCACAAATAATGTGATGAGGGGGCCCTTGCGTGATCTAATTGGTCTCCCCATCACTTCAGCCCCATTCCCAAGATCTCATACGCCTCCCCTTCTCTACTTGCAAGACTAAAAACGTGGGGTGCCCCCCACTCATGTGGGATGTCATCCCTTCTTATCCTGAAGTGTACATTTGGTCCCGAAAGTGGTATTTTTCGGACTGTTTTAATTACTCCCTCCGTTCCTATTATATCTTCCAACTTTCCTTTTTAATCCGTTCCAATTAAACTTCCATTTTCCCTTTTTGGTAAAGAATTTGTGGTTCACAACATTTCTTACACATTTCTCTTTCCTCTGCACAACTCTCCACCACACAATACCAACTTTTCTTAAATTTTGTGCCAAAGTGAAATGGAAGATATAATAGGAACAGAGGGAGTATATTTTATTTTATCGGGTGAAATAAAATATATCCCACGTTTCCAATCAATATGGGCATTTAGAATGAATATACATTCTCCAACTTTAATTTAGAAGTCTCCAAAATTTATTTCGGACTGTTATATGATAAATTACCATTATCGGTAATTGGGCCTCGTTTGACCGACCGGTCAACTCTGTGCCCTTGTTATGCCCCAACTAAAATATCCACCACCATATATATGATCTAGAACAAGATGAATATAATATGTGGTCCCAGGAATATCGGGTGGCTCCAGTTCCCTGTGTGGGCCCCACGTGCAATTTACTATTCACGCAAAAGAATTAATAAAAATATACAACAACGTAAATTCATAATTCTGTTGGGTTTGTTTCGGAAAATAAAGAAAATTAATTAAAATAAATTAATTAAATAAAATGACTAGAGAAAAACAAGAAAGGAGATGAACCAGAATTAGCCAAAGCTCGTGCTACGCACGATTTCCTTAAAACGTATTTGTTGCCTCCCACGGTGCTAGGAGCGTTGCAACAATCGTTTCCCAGGATACGATGACTACGAACTAATGTTTGAGCACACAAACAAGAGTTCCAGCGAACGAGAACCAAGTATGAACACAGAAGAAATTTTCCAGAGTAGCTGTAGATGTTTTTATCTCAAGAAATACGTGAGGAATGTATTGTGCGTTGTCAAACCGTGTGTCTGTTGCAAAGCACCTGCCAGCTATTTATAGGAGGATTTGTTGTGTGTTAAATGGGGTGTTAATGGATTTATAGGGCATTGAATCGTCCATAAACTGTCCATTTTATGGGAAAAAAACAAAAATTAACCGTATCTCTTGAGAAATAGATTTTTGGACAGCATTCGTGTCCGCAGGTCGCCCGCGCACACGAGTCGCGGATTTTCTTCTCCGTTTCGGGATTTGATCGGCACCCCCCCTGCGCGTAAGAGAGAGCCTTTCCCTTTAGGAATCTTAACTCCTTAAAAGAGGCTTCCCTTTAAAAGGGGGTGAAAATCCCTTGAGTGTTTCGGTGTGGGATAAAACACACTAGAAACTCATCATTTTCCCAGTTTTTCCATTACAACGAGCGAACTTCGAGAATCAATTTCTCATTCACCCGTTATCCGTTTTGAGCGTACCATATATCGAATTGTAGCCCTTAACAAGGACAATCCGAAACCACTTTGACCCGATCCAAATCGGAAGTGGACCCCACTCAAATAATTGCCCCAAAATGACCATTTAATGCAATTTTTAACACATTTTTCCAACAAATTCATCCTTCAAGGATTATTACATAATTTACTAAAAAGTAAATACACTTGGGCATGGTGTTACAAGTTCACCCCCTTATTTGGGATTTTGTCCCCAAAATCCACATGTCTAGTCAAATAGAAATGGATAGTGCTCTCTCATGAGAGTCTCCACTTCCCATGTTTGCTCCTCAACACGGTCGCTTTTCCAAAGCACTTTTACCATTGGTACTTCTTTGCTTCTTAGTTTCTTGACTTGCCGGTCTATGATTTCCACTGGTTGCACCTCGTAGCGCAAATCTTCTCGTATTTCCACCGGCGGTTTCTCAAGAATATGTGACGGGTCCCGTACATACCGGTGCCCTTAAGCTTAGTCTCGCCAACCTCATCCTAGCACAAAGGTGTCTGACATTTCCTCCCATACAATGCTTCGTATGGAGGCATGCCTATACTCGCCTGATAAATGTGGTTATATGCGAATTCCACTAAAGCCAACTGATTGTCCCAACTTCTCTGGAACTCTAAAACATAAGATTAAGAGTAATTTAAGTTGACCATGTGAATAGTGACTCTGAAGTTCATTTTGGGACGGAGGGAGTAATATAGTGGTGTAAGTACGAGTATCGTCTCCACAGGGACGGACAAAAGGGAATCAAAGATTAAGTATTAACTAATTTCAGCGATTAAAAAAAAATAAATAAAAATGCGTCGTGCGAGATTGGTTGCTGGAAAATATAAATGCTAATAAAACGGTTAAACTAGGGGGTTCTTTCTAATTAATGACGAAGGGAACAGGGATTGATTCCGGGGTAACCAGATTTCTGGCAGATCAGGCCTAATTACATGAAATTAATTCAATTGAGTCTAGCTAATCATTACTAAGTTCCTACCTCTCTCGCGCCGTAGAGTACAATAATTTAGGGGACCAGGCTGATTTCTAATGCGACAGGATCCTAAATTATTGTCAAGGCGAGCGAGCTTACGACCCCTTAATCGCTACTAATCTCTTAGCGAACGATTAAATGTGTGTGAATGTGTCCTAGAATAAACTAGATCTCTCTTAATTTATTCTATAAGCAATTGTAATTCTAGCCGCGGTTCCAGGTTACAAAAGATATCAATTAAATTATGCAAACACAAATTAAACGTAATTAATGCGATTAAACCATCAAGAATCTAGCCATACATCATGATCAACCCCTTCATCAATCCCAAATCCATAATTAAACTACTCACAATTCATAATTGAAGAATTAACAGAATTTGACTGAATAGAATTAATTGTCATTAATTAAAAAGATGGAACTTACAAAGAATCCCAAAAGATTGATGATCAGGGCTGAAAAGCTCTCTAAATTTCGTTCTTGGCACTCTCTCTAAGCTCCCCCTTGAAAACGGGGGTTAACATGTTGTTTAAATAGAAAAATCAAGTAAAATTTGAGCTGAATTGGGATTTCCGGAGGCAGGCACGGTGACAGGCACGATCGTGCTTCCGGAGCAAAAACGCGCATTTTGTGCAGGCACGATCATGCCTCCCACCAGGTAGGATCGTGCCTGCCTTGCAGTAGCTCCGCGATGCTTTCTCTTCACGCACTCATCCTGATTTCTTCTCAAGCGCCGGTGCCGAACTCCAAATGACACAAAACTTGAATCAACGCCCGGTAAACATAACTTCATCTAAAATTGAGACTTGTAACACTTTAAAGCTAGGGAAAACCATCAATCTCGATCCCAACACGCATGACGCATCAAATGCACGTCTAAATGTGGACTTATCAGTTTCCAAAATGTCCCTTAAGGGCATCCTACAGTTCTTTGGGGGTTTTCAACTGAAGTTATTCCCAACGTAAGCTCGGGTCAATACGGCGCTTGAGAAACATTAAAGCGCTTGCCTTTGTCTTTTCAGACGGTGCTTCACCTTTCAATTTTTCTGAGTGCCCTTCATAGCATTGATCTTACTTTCAAAAAATTATTGTTATTCTATTTTGAAATGAACATACTTGTTCGGTGATAGAGAATATATAATTCACTTCAAAGTAATTGGCAAAATTTTTGAATAGAAAGTGTGTCATCTAACGAGCTTATCCGGATGAACATGTTAAAGATGATGGAGCATTCAACATTAAAGAAAATTATTTTATGACCTACACCTTCAAAACCACATTGGAATGAATATGAGGGATAACCGTCATCATTACGTCCCACTTCTAGCTAGTGTTCCCTACACATGAAGAATGACATGACTAAAAATCTTTCTTTACATCTATATGTATATTATGTGAAGGAGTCTAAGTTGATTAACGCAAGAGAGAGATGGGTTCCTTCTATTGACGGAGTGGTGAAAGAAAGATATATAAAAATGTACTCATTGACTATATGATATTATTACACTCTCTATGTCACTCAAAATTTGGCCAAATTTAACCGACATGAGGATTAATAAAATAAAAAGTGTGTGTTTGAGGTTTGTACGGAAGAGGGAGAATTAGATGGAACAACAAATTCGTTACTTAAAAGAGAAATTGACAAAGTTAGTAGGACAAAAAAAGGAAGTCGGCAAAATTTTAAGGAACAAAGGAAGTATATGTTGAAGTCTATTTGACCATTTCACTACATTAGTTTTGATTGATTCTCAATGAATTTGCCAGATACATCAAAGAGGACAACAACTCCATACATTACGCGTAACCAAAAAATTTGATTCACACCTCATTATGGTAGATGAAATGATGAAAAACCCTAATTGAGGGATACATAGTTTACCCAATACACCAAGGATTTGTTAAATCATATAGATAGTATAGTGGTGAGATTCATAGGGTGCATATAATCTTTGGTTCCAGCCATCATCTGATCAACAATTATTCTATTAGCCTTCTCTGATGGATGAAACGCATCCCAAAATGCATACTCTTCTCTATTGGAACACAAGTTAGACAGTGGCGTGCAAAATCCCAATCCATTATATGGTCCTTGTCCGCAACATGCCACTTGTGCAGTCACAAATCCTACAAACATAACACACATGATAAACATTACTCCATCCGTACCATATTTAACTCCGGTTTTGACTGGGCACGAGTTTTAAGATAGTGAAATTTGTGTGGTGGAGAGTTATGCATAGGAGAGAGAAATGTGTAAGAATGGTTGTGAACCACATATTCTTTACCAAAAAGGGAAAAAGGAGATAAATTTGGGACGGACCGAAAATGAAAGAACGAAGATAATTCCAGGACGGAGGGAGTATTTTTATTGGACCCCTGTCATTAATTTTTTTGACATGTTTCAGTTTGTGGGGTTTGGTATGAATTAAAGTTAACTACTTCATATTATTACCTCTGTCCTGAAAAAGATATCATATTGACTTTTCTTGGTCAATGATGCCAAATTTTGGACAATGATTTTAATTATTATATTTGAATAAGGAACATTTTGATATAATTTTCATACTCAAAATAATTTCGTGTTAAAGATCATTGACCAAAGTTGTCATTGACCAAGAAAAGTCAATCTGGTGAACCTTTTCGGGACGAAGGGAGTACTATTTAAAATATTCTTACAAAATGATTTTGACATACTTGGAAATCACGCAAAAAAAAAACTCATTGAACTCGGTTACAATTAAATTCAAATAGGATAAAAGTTGATATACAAAAATAGTATAAGAGATAACTTTCGTTACATGATAATTAAGTCAAATGCCATGAGAAAAAGAAGGAAAGCGATATAAGTCCTATGAGCTGGTTACTACTCGTGGCTCAAGATAAAGACTGTAGTTTGATTTCAAAAAACATAATACTTTATGATTTTTGGCTTTTACTATATACAATTGTATAATTCAGAGTAAAATTTGTAATAATTTTGTACTTTAATAATATATTTTACAATAATTTGGTCAACACTAAAGAGTGTTTAACTTTATCTGTCTCTAATCGCTCTTCTAGATTAGTTTTGCATGTTTTTAGGAAATTGACACACTAAGTGGAGACTGGAGAGTGAGAGAGTGTGAATGGAAATAAATGAAAGAAAAATTTAAACTAGATTAAATAAATGAAATTGACTCATAGAACATGTATCTATTAAATTTGACTAAATTAGATTTACACAAATATAATCGGATCAGACTATAAAATTTCAATCCACTTAAAAACGATTAGATAATGTTAAACTAATCATTCATTTAAAACGAGGGGAGTAATTTTTAGTTTAAGTGAGAATTCCAATTATGTAAAAGCATGTGTAAAGATGGAGGAAGTATGATATTCGTATATTTAAAGTTAAAACCTGTACAACTCCTCCACCGCCTTTATAACAGTTCATGTGTCTAGAATAAACCGAACTTGAGTTGCTCGGCAGAAAAGAAAATAACAATGCGATACCCGCTTGTGCAGAAGATTCATAACTGGTCACCAATGAAGTAACATAAATCCAATAATGGAGGTGTTTGGCATTTAATAGTTAGCGGGTTATGTTAGCCGATTGTTTATAGAGAATTCATTTAGCGGGTTTGGTTAGCGAATAAGTTGACGGGTTGCAAAAAGATGTGCTGCAATTTTAACTATTTGAGTGTATCGATTAGTAGGTAATGGCCTATTTCAATACGTCAATCCAAAACACCGCTATTTGAAGCGTTTCTATTTCAGCGATTCCATTCAAAACCGTTATGGATGAAAAATCTATTTACCAAACAACGTTTTCACTTACCGTAAACGCTAAAAAAATCAAACTATCATTTTTTTCCTTTCTGAAACGTCTTTTTCCAAACACCCCAAATATTACTATTTTTCGACAAATAATAGAGCTAAAATAGCTTAATCTAAAGTCGAAGTTGAAGACATACCAAAAGTTTGAGGGCTAGTAATGAAATCCATATGCATCTGGTGTGCATTGACTGCGATGAAAACATCGTAGCCTATATCATTGTTGAGACCTTCAATCATTTGGGCGAGCTGAGGGTTGAATAAGGACGCAGCTTGTTGAAGCTCCGAAGCACAATCACCATTTAAGCTGTGTTGAGCCATTTCAGCCGGCACACAACCTAGCGGTCCAGTCCCCGTGACCATCACTGTTCTACCTCCCAAATCGTATAGTCTCTACATATACATATAATCGATAAACAATTAATGAATGAAATAGTTGAAATTACTAAAATGAGATTTTCCGTAAATATCACTGAAACATAACTAGTGGACAAAAATACCAAGCCCACTCCCCTTGTTTTGTTCTATTCCCAGCCCATGCCCGTGTGACCCTATGTTATATTGTCTGGTTCTTTCTCGAATCTCCTATTTGACTCGTCCCCTTCATCTCCCTTCCGATGAAGCAAACGGTTGGTTTCCCTAGACCGAGAGTGAGAGAGATACAGTTCCCTGAGAGTTTTAGCTCCGGCTATACTCCGGTGATACTTTGGGATTCCCTTGGGGGTCTTCACTCTAGTCTGGTAGTGTGGTGGGTTGTCTACTCCTCCGGTGGGGCTTCTGGGCTGGGGTCTGGGTTTTGAGTGTGAGGGATTGTTGGCTGTCGCCCTTCGTCTTCCGTGGTTGTAACTCTGGTGGTGAGTATGAGCAAGCCTTTGGGCTTTGTGGTGATTGAGGTCTGAGCCGGTCCGGATTTCTAACACTATAAAACATATATATTGTTATATATGAGTAACATGTTACCTTAAGGACCTTTTTGTACTCAGAGATGACAAGGGAGACATAATCGGGAAGGGTATATTGGCGAGATCTTGCAGAAAAAGGGACCAAAAAGTAATTGTTGACAAAATCATTTCCACCTAAGGTGATTAGGACAAGGGCTCCATTAACAAGTTTTGTTGCATTCTTGGCCCCAACCAATGCTCCTAACCTCTGTTGGTAATCTGCAAAATATTCCAGTTGTTGGTGGATCCTTATTATATTTACCTGCACGATTCAGTAAAAATAAGGTGGCCTACCAGAAAAAATCAAGGATGTTTTCACACAGGAGGAGTATGTTTTTTTGTTGCAACAAGGATGTTCTCTCCACTGTAATAACATCTTCACTTTGTTACTTTGTATTAACTAAGACCTTTTTTTACAATAGTTATTATCTAAGAACTTTAACTTTTGTTAGCAATAATATCTTTCGAACTAAGCTACAACATTTTCATGAACGGTTTATTATGTTATACACATATTGGAAAATTTTGTGTATAGCGAAATCAATATTCTTGCTTTGTGACAAATACTTGACACATATTTAGACACATACTTGCTTTGTGACAAATTTTTCTTTAATGTTGACACATATTCTTTCTTTAATATATAAATTCTTGTTGTACATCCATACTAGTTATTGTTGTATTTCTTTATGAAGCATATTGCACTCATAACTTAAATGGTGATATCTTTTTCATTTATGCCCTATTTACTCATAAGTCATAACATTTTCAATAAGAGATAGTTCATTAGCATTTCTATGAAGTGACTAAAAAATGAAATGGTTGCATGTTATGAGTCTTTCAATTAAAATGGCCGGATTTTAATAAGAATCTATATAGTAATTTTAGTTATTTTTTAAGGGTAGTATTTTTAGCTTAGAAATTCATAGAAATCAAACATTTAAGAGAATACATAAAAAATCACCAAAAATTTAGGGCACCTAGTTAGATTTGAATGGAATGAATTTAATTCTTAATTGAGGACACACGTAATTTAATTAAATGCTCAAAATTCTAAATTGAGAACCCCCTAAAATTCATTTGAATTTTAAAATCCATGAAATTCCATATTGACGACACACTTTTAATCACAATATGTAATGATACGATATCACCCTTACTCGATTAAAAATGTAAGACCGACACTCTAGAATTTTTATAAGTTGATACTTCCTATTTGCTGCGGTTTCCCTAACGTTCAAAACAACAGTGACTTCATTACTTTTTTCCGGTTTTTGTTGCGCTTAATTGGTTTAAATTGCATCAAATAAGTGAATTTTGATGGAAAATGTTCACGATGATTGGCACCAAATGTATTTAAGGAAATTGCCTTAAACGGGATTATAAATGTGTGTATTCCAAAATAGAACTATCATGTTTTTATTCCCTAAGTATGAGTAATTAACGCCATGTATTGGCAGTACCATACTTTAAACATTGTACTATTTCCCAAACTTGACAATAATTACTTTTATTTAGGGAATAAAAACATGACGATCCTATTTTGGAATTCTCAAACGTTTTTGCTCCAAATTCGGGAATTTTCTCTTGTATTTATCACGGTTGCAGTTAGGAACCACAACTAACACGTATTTTTGATATTTTCTTTCTAAAACCTCACCTTTGTGCTGCGATTTTAGGCTACACCCTCAAAAAGGGTAAATCTTTTTCTAACAATTAAAACATACTCTGTATTTTAAGCTTCAAGTCTAATTAGTATACTTTTCTTAATCCCACATATTTTTCATGATATATGAAACACCATTAGTATTAAAAAATAACTTACTTTGGATTTTAAAGAAATTGCTGAAAATATGTTTTCTTTTCAAAATAGATCGAATTTATAGTTCTATTAAAACAACAAAATAATAAAACTTCACTAAAAAGGAGTACCCTGATTGGATAACTGAGCACGAAATAAAATGTATCTAAAATTACTGAAAATGTCACGTTTTATGCAGTTTAGTCTTAAACTCCAACAAATAGCAACACAAAACACCACATTTTTCAATAAGTTTAAATATATTTTATTTTGCGCTCAAGTATCCGATTGAAGTAATATTTTTGTCAACCACATCAGTTTAGATATCTATACAAAAATGTATGTTGAATAAGGTAATGGTGATGGTAAATTTAAGTAACATAAGTTTTTATTCACATTTATACCGTAAAGAGAGCGTCATAAGTTTTTGTCGAATATGGATCAGATTAGCTTCTAAAACCAACACGGTTGCACAGATCTTGAAAAAATAGGTGACTTTTACCCTTGCATAGGTCATGGGGAAGGGGTCAGGGAGTTGTCTAGGGTAAACAACGTTAAAACTCCCTTCATGAATTAAAGTTTTGACCTGAGACCTCCCATTTGGGAGAGTGAGTCGTTGATTTAAAAAAGAATATCGCGACCATACACCGGACCAGGAAATAATGTATAGTCAAATGTATTGAAAATGCAATTTTTGCCTCAGTTCTAGCCTGAAAACGCAACAAGTAAACCCTATTTAACAGAATCGAGTAAAAGATTTTGTTATTTCAAATCATTTAAATACATTTTATTTCTCGCTCAACTCCGACACCACATTGGGATGTTTTTAAATCACTCACTTTTTTAGATCTATGCAACCATGTTAGTTTAAAAGACCTAAAAATATTTGTTTGCCTATTGTGTGAGCATGATTGGTAGAAATAAGTCCTTGTCTTGTACCTTTTTTACAATTTAAAGAGTCGTTAAAATCTTCTAGTTGTGTGTTTGTGGGACAATTGTTAAGAGTTTTTATTAAAATAAAAGTTCTTTTAAAATCTTTTCAATCACTAAAAACTACTCCGTAATAGTTACTACAAAACTAAAAAAAAACTTCTTTCAATTAGTTGTGCCAAACACACCTCATATTTCAAAGTAGACTTTGGATATTTTTACTTGGACTGTAATTTGCTGATCTGGTCTGGTCTGGTCTGATCTGGTCTGGTCTGATTTCTTTGTATTTTTATAACTATCCAAGTCTGGTCTGGTAACCGCTCCTGCAGATCCGCCGTTGTTGCTGGAAATCCGACCTCCACCACTGCAGATCCGGCTTGCACCGTTGCAGATCTGGCCGCTGTCAAAGCTGATGCCAACGTCTTTACGAGAATGCCAACATGAATGGAAAATGCCATCAGGATGGCATTTTAAAAGAAAAAATATGAAATTTAGAAGAGGAAAAATTCCATTGCTATGACATTCTCGGTGTATAACTTGGCATTTTTTCACGAACAAAGAACATCATCTCATTTTTTGGCAACTAGCACCTCGAATGAAGAGGGGGATGTCAGATCCAGAGAAGAAGAGGCCGAGGAGTAAGAAGGATTGTGAGAACAACAAGATAATTTACTCCAGCCACCAAATCCGAGTTCAATACTTGCTGAAACTTCCTTGATGGCCATCACCGCTACTCGTTGCACCAGGAAGCTCGACCCTGCAGGGCGGAGATGGTGACCGGAGAAGAAAGGATGGCCGCCACACCTAGGAGATCGTGAGGAGGTCGGAATAGATGGTGAACATGATGGAGAAGGCGTGAAAAAAGAAGATTAGCCGATGGCTATTAGGCGTGCGTGGAGAAAATAGAATGAATGGAGAAGGGGCTGATGTGCGTGAGTGAACAAAACAAAAGAAGGGCAATTTTGGAACAAAGGTCCTATTTAGGGATAAAAATACACCTACTCCTGTTTTGGAATTTGAACAATAATTTAGTCCTATTTAAGACAAAATTCTCTAAATTTTTACCATATTTGATTTTTTTTGGTCAATCAAGTTAAATTTTGAGTAATGCTATATTTTTATACGAAGTTATTTATAATATATATGGAGTATAAAAATAGTATGAAAATATTCTTTCTTGAAAATATTTTTTATAAATATATAAAATTTACTTTATATAATTCTTCATATCATCATTATACTAATTTGAAAAGTAACAAAGTTCAAAGGGATGAAAGTATATGAAGTAGAGTGAATTACCTAAACAGGATAAAAAAGTGGTCTAAGAGTATAAATAGGACTACATATTTTAAATTTCTTCAAAGTAGGACTATTTATGTGTGTTGGACAAATATACCCTTGCAGCTTTTGAAATGTCTTAGTTAATAATAAAATCATAAAAAATAATAAAAACCGTAAAAATAATAAAAAACGTAAGAAATAGAAAAAATTCATAAAATATTTACAACATTTTTAGTAATGCCATAATATTCATGACAGATTCAATGACAACTTTGACATTTTCTTTAATGCCATTTTCTTGGTATTTTCAGAAAAAATGACATTTTATACATAAATGGCAGAATTTTTACCGATCGGATGTGGTGATGATGGGAGGCGGTGGGAAGGTATCCATATTGTTTTGTACGAAGTATTTATTTATTTATAAGTTTTTACTATTTTTTATTAATTTTTTAAATTAAAAATTTCAAAAAATTTATAAATAATTTATTAATTTTTATATTTTTTTACGATTATTATTATTATTTATTACAATTTCTTATTATTTTTTATGATTTTATTATGAATTTAGACATTCATTATGAATTAATACCATTAGGGGTATGTAGGGTAGAAATCAATGTTTAATCCTACATGAAGAGAATAAAAAAGTAATAGTCCTATTTATGTTTTTTAGGTAAACTTTAGTCCTATTGAAATCAATTTCTATATGAAGTCCGTATGTATATGTAAGGAATCATTCTGGTGTACACTTCTTTGTACATTTGGGAGACAAATCATACTTTTTTCTTAACGAACTGTCTGTGTACAGACAATTAGAGATATATAAAGTGTGTACAAAAGTGCACACAAAGAGATTTGTTGTTGCGTAGATGAGCAGGCTTACAAATTGGATTCCGGTGTCATCTAATACGCCGACTCCAGCGGACGCAAAGTTAGCTCCCATCACAAGCTTTTCTCCGTCAAGCTCCGGGCTCAAGTATGGTAATATCGGTTCCGTCCCTAGCTTCTCACCTAAATTTAAAGTAAGAACCCATCGTCAATATGGAGTATTATTTAGTCAATATAAAAAAAGACAAATTAATTAAAATAGGACTAAAACCGTTTGTATATTCCAAAATAGGATTATCATATTTTTATTCCTAAAATATGACTAATTACTGTCATGTTTTGGCAGTATCAGAATTTAAACATGATAATATTTTCCAAACTTGACAGTAATTACTCCTATTTTGGGGATAAAAACATGACAGTCCTATTTTGAAAATTTTAAACTTTTTTACTCCTATTTCGAAAATTTTCCCATACAAAATGCTTTATTTTTATTAAGCCTAGAGGTATTTTTTATTAATTTTCAATGTTTTACTCCCTCCGTCCCTAAATGTTCTTCCAAATTAAAGTGGCACGGTGATTAAGAAAGTGAGAATTGTATGGTGGAGAGTTGTGCAGAGGAGAGAGAAATGCTGTGAACCACAAATTCTTTGCCAAAAAGTGAAAGTGAAGTTCTTTTTGGGACGGACGAAAAGAAAAAGTTGGAAGTAAATTTAGGGACGGAGGGAATATTAGTTAAACGGTCTGCTCTATTCAAGAAAAGTTTTTTTTACGTATGACGAGAGAGTGAGAAAAACTAAGAATTGTCTTAAATCTAAATGAAGAAAAAATATGGTGAAAGAATCAGAGATGTCAAATTTTAAGCACCCTTAGAAATTTGGGGGGAAGGGATCGAAGGGGAGGGGTAAGTTGTTGGAGGTAAAGAGGAAAGTGATTTTTTTTTCTTATCCGAAAAGAAAGTTTTGGAAGGAATTATAATTACAATTACTTTAGATATGACGAATCAAACCAATATTCATTTTGAATTAAATTTAAATTATCTTAATCATCCTTCATAACCCCGAATTCGATAGATTTAAAGCTCCGGAGGGTCACAAAAACCCTCTTCACCCCCTTCCCTCCAAAAGTTAAGAGGTACGTACAAACAACTTAACTGATAATATCGGGGATGGTAAGGCCGTTGGAGAAGCGGCCTGTAGGGCGGTGGGTGGGGTGGTCAATTCCATACGGCGGAGAATCGGCGCGTGCGGTGGTTGCTAAAAAGTTGTTGTTTCCATTGTCGGACAGTGAATCTCCGAACACAAAGAACGCCCGCCGCGCGCCCTTCGCCACCGCAAATTCCACCGACACTACGGCGAAACTGATGATGAACAAGAAAGAATAAATAGAGGCTGCAGCCATGGCATGCATATATGTAAACACCCTTGTGGTTTTAATTCCTTTGCAGGCAGAGTAAATAGTTTGGGGAATATTTATATTCTACATTTCTACACGACTACACGTCGTAAATTAAATGCAAAGGAACATAGTTTTAATTTCAAGTTCAATTCTTCAATGTAGGTAGTGTACGTTTACGGTTTAATCAATGTTACATTCGTAAATTTGTTGTCTAGCATTACTTATGATGAGAAATGGAAGCCACCTGGACACATCCAAGGGCTTTGTGTGCACATTTTCTAAAGTAAAACTTAATACAGTTGCTTGCAATTACTTAATCTTTTTTTCAACAATAATGTTCACAGATCAATAAATTCGTCTTAAGTAATTATTATATCCGTCCCATTTTATGTGTCTTGTTACGGCATAGTGTATAAACAGTGGCATATCCAGGAATTAGTGTGAGAGGGGCGAGTTCATACCACTCTCTCTGTCCCGTAAAACTCTTCCCACAAATCCCAAAAAAATCTTTTCATTTCCCTTTTAGGAAGTTTTGTGTGACTAATATTTGTTTACATTTTTCTTACTCAACCACAATCACACATTTCCACTTTATTTTCACTTTCTGAAACTCTGATTCAAGTCCAATAGGGAAGCATTTTTTGAGACAGAGGGAGTATATATACTATTTCACGCATGTCACAAGCAGTTGAACACTTTAAGAAAATAATACAAAATTTATTATAAATGAAAACTAGTCAGTCAACGTAAAAACATGAAATCATACTTAACAAATTTCACTATGTGCGAAATAAATTTGACACCGAAATTTATTTTTTTGATGTTATATATGTCAATAAATAGTTTGAATAAAAGATATGTACCGTATGTATTTAGAATTAATGTAAATTGTAAATGCAGAATTATTTCTTAAAATGAACTTATATCAAGTGCAAAACGTAATGAGCTATCTTTAAATTTGATTGAAATTCAATGAATTTGATTGTAATGTATGTAATGAAGTATAGTGTGAAATGTAAAGAAATTATATTACTCCGTAAGTCATCATTTGAAATGTGATAGAAACTTTAAAAAGAAAAAGATAATGGATGTAGTAGAATTAAAGTTTAGAAGTAAAAAATGATGGATGGTTTCGAAGCCCCCAACCTCACAACACGGAGGACTCTAAACGCATGCCCAATTATTCTGTCCACTGCACTAGGTTGTTGGCCATCGTATACTTTCGTAAACATAGTATTACCCCGTTCCGCTATGATTGTCCCATTTTATCTTATCGGTCTGTTCCACAAAGATTGTCACATACCATATTTGATAAAGTTTGTGTAGCTCTGAAACCATTCTTACTTTATTCTTACTTTATCAATTCAATATCAACCACATAAACCACTTTTTATTAATTTGCGTGTCACTCCCTCTTGACTCATTGTTAGCGGGGTGGAGGGAGTATATATTATGTATATGCAGCACACAATATATAAATAATTTTAATTTTAAATATAAATATATAGGGGTTGAGTGGGGGTTGAGTGGGGGCAGCTGCCCTCTGCCCCCACTTGGATACGCCACTGTGTATAAATGATTAACAAAATGGCTGAAAAGGTAAAAACAATGATTATAGACTTAAGGTTGAGTATAATAAAGTGAAATATAATTATGTAAGTCTTACCATATAAGGTTGAAATTTTCAAGTCGGTCTAGTTTGATTTAATTTGTGTAAGTATGATTTGCTCGACTAATTACATTACTTTTAAGTCTTAAGTTGTAAGTCGTCAGAGAGAGAGACAGAGTAACTCTAGCGGCCGTCTCCCCTCTTTGTAAGGTTGAAATTTTCTGCCGCCCTCATCAATATGGGGTTGAAGCAGCAGATTATACTGATTTTAAGTGTTCTAACACTTAGGATTGTAACTCCGCCATGAGATCATTTTTTGGTATCATGCCTGTCCCAAGCAAGTACAAAGGAGGAGGGTGTTGTGGTAGGCGTGTGACGTCCAACAGTATCACGTAGTCACATCAAATGACATGAATAGAAATATGAATATCGCTACAGCTAGGTCGTCGCCCGTAAGCGACGTGTCATCCCTCTGCCTGGGGGTGGTGTCAAATGAGCAAGGGCGCGCTACACTTCATAGACCTAGGTGTGATGATAAGAATGCTAAGGCTGCTAGGTCGTCGCCCGGAAGCGACGCACCACTCCAATGCCCAGGGATGGTGTCAAATATGCAAGGGCATGGTGGGGGTCGATGTGGTGTGAAGAAAAGGTAGGGTGTTAGATAGCGTTTTGGGACATGGAATGTTGGCTCTCTTACAGGAAGATCATCTGAGATAGCTGAGGTTATGAAGAGGAGGAATATCAGCATAATGTGCATGCAAGAAACTAAGTGGGTTGGAGAAAAGGCATATGAGATTAATCCCGGAGGTTTTAAGCTGTGGTACTTGGCGAGAGAGAGAGGAAGAGAAATGGAGTAGGCACTATAGTGGCACATGATTATGTTGAGGGTGTGGTGAAAGTCTTTAGGAAGAACGATTGCATCATGAGCATTAAGTTGATAATAGGAGATGAGATCGTGTCTGTGGTAAGTGCCTATGCACCACAAGTGGGATTGGATGCATGTCATGCATCTATCACTCAACAATTTTGGGAGGATCTTGAGGAAGTGGTGCGACGAGTGTCAAGGGGAGAGAAGTTGGTCATAGGAGGCGACCTCAACGGGCATATGGGCCCAAGTCGTGATGGTTTAAAGAGTATCCATGGCGGACATGGCTTTGGCACTAGAAATGAAGCGGGGAAGAACATTTTGGATTTTGCCTCGACATATGAGTTGACTGTGATGAACACTTGGTTCAAGAAAAGAGACTCTCACCTTGTCACCTATAGAAGTGGAGCTAATAGTACTCAAATTGATTACTTTTTAGTACGGAAGACTTGGAGAACTAGCTACACTGATTGTAAGGTTATCCCAGGTGAGAGTGCTGTCACTCAACATAGGATGCTTGTGCTTGATTTTCAAGTTAAAAAGAGGAGACGAGTTAAGGTACAAGGAGAGCCAAAGATAAGATGGTGGAGGCTCGAGGGGAATCTCCAACAAAGTTTTGCACACAAAATGTTGGAGGAAGATGTATGGTTTATTGATAATGACGCACATGTAGATGATGTGTGGTTATCAATGGAGTCCACCATTAACAAAGTGGCAAAGGAGATACCCGGAGAATCTAAAGGATGTCTGCCACCAAAAAAGGACACGTCTTGGTGGAATGATGAGGTGAAACAAGCAATAAGGACCAAAAGGGAATGCTATAAGAAATTGGGCAAAGTTGGAGCAACGAGAACATAAAGAAGTACAAGGAGGCTCGAAGAAGAGCAAACAAAGCTGTGAAGGAAGCCAGAGGAAAAGTGAACAGGGAATTATATGTAAAGTTGGACTCTAAAGAAGGAGAAAAAGATACATACAGACTTGCTCGCCTTCGTGATCGTAGGACTCAGGATATCGGAAAAGTTAAGTGTGTGAAGGATGTCGATCAAAGGGTACTAATGGAGGACAAAGAAATTAAAGAGAGGTGGATGACATATTTTGATACCTTGTTCAACGGGAATAAAGTGCAAGGTATTGATGATCTTGCTATACCAGAGTGTATGGTAAATCGAGACTTCATGATAAGGATTCAAACAACAGAAGTTAAAGAGGCTATGAGAAAAATGGGGAGGAAGAAAGCAGTGGGCCCAGATGGGATGCCGATCGAGGCTTGGAGAAGTTTGGGAGAGAAAGGCATTGAGTGGTTAACACGTTTCTTCAACATGATTTGGAGAAACAACAAAATGCCAATGAGTTGGCGGAAGAGTACTCTCATTCCCTTATTTAAAAAATAAGGGTGATGTACAACAATGTGCTAACTATCGAGGGATTAAGCTTATGAGTCACACTATGAAACTTTGGGAGCGAGTGGTTGAGCAAAGACTTCGTAAAAGTGTGAAAATTTCGTTGAATCAATTTGGTTTTATACATGGACGCTCAACAACTGAGGTCATTCACCTTCTTAGACAAGTTATGGAGAAGTATAGAGACACTAAAAACGATCTGCATTTGGCGTTCATTGACTTAAAAAAGGCATATGATAGGGTACCTCGAGAAGTCCTGTGGTGGGCCTTAATTAGAAAAGGCATATCACGTAAGTATATCAGTATCATCATGGATATGTATGGTGTTTGTACTACAAGTGTCCGCACTAGTGTAGGGAGGACCGCAGAGTTCCCTATAACTATTGGAGTGCACCAAGGATCTGCTCTGAATCCTTTCTCATTTCCTATAGTTATAGATGAAGTTACGAAGTCAATTCAAGAAGATATAATGTGGTGCATGATGTTTGTCGACGATATTCTATTGATTGATGAGACACAATCCAGTGTTAAAGCAAAGTTGGAAGTATGGCGACAAACATCGGAGATTAGAGGTTTCAGACTGGGCCGAAGCAAGACTGAGTATATGGAGTGCAAGTTTGGTGGAGGTAGAAGTAGTAGCAACAGTGGGATTACTCTTGATGGTAAGGAGATACCGGTGTGTGATATGTTCCCTTACTTGGGTTCCATAATTCAGAAGGATGGTGAATTAGATGGAGATGTATGCCATAGAATCAGAGCTGAGTGGATGAAATGGAATAGTGTTTCAGAATTTCTATGCGATCGAGGTATGCTGACTAGATTGAAGGGGATAAATGCACTGAAGAGGCTGAATGGCTACACCATTTTCTAGAGGATATTGCAAGTTGGGAAAAGCCTGTACCTCCAATATGCATATATTGCGACTGGAAAGCGACAATTCGAAGGGTACAGAGCAACATGTATAATGGTAAGTCTAGAAACATTAATCGTAGACATAACACCATTAAACAACTCCTCACAACGGGTGTTATCACTATTGACTACGTGAAATCAAAGGATAACATAGTGTATCCGCTAACCAAGGCATTGGATAGAGAATTGTTGGAGAAGTTGTCACGAGGAATGGGACTAAATCCCGTGAATTGAAAAGTTCTATAGTGGATACCCAACTTAG